CAGAATTCAGATCTTAAATACGTACTCTCAGAAAACAAGTGTTTGATGAACTTGTTATTCCAGCAAGATTTGGTGCACACTTCAACTTGCTTTCCTTAAGAAAGCACTCTTACTGAGAATGATGTTGAGCATTTAACATATCTGGTCTGAAGACAGCTCCTTCTGTGTAGAAGGGACTGTATGTTGTAACCAGAGACTCTCTAATTCTAGCTATATATGTTGTTGGCCCATTCATAAATCTAGAGATGGTAGGAGAATGTAGGAGAACATTCCTATAAATTAAGACCTAGTTTCCTGCTCTAAATGAGAATGTCCTTAAAATACCAGCTGCCACTGATATCACCTTGCAGAATCTAAGATGTACAGGGAAATTGGGTGGGGGCAGAGATTTAGGCCATGATAATATAAATGGCTGTGGCAGGTAATTGAAGTGAAGGATGCAATAGTTCCAAGCATCAAAACTTAAAGCGTCTGTTTGCTTGGGTTTTATTTGGCATTGTCTTTTCTTCCCCCATTTCCAAATTTCCTTCAAAAGCAGAGAGAAAAGCTAACACAGTGATGATTGAGATGAGCTTGCAAAGTTCACAGCAAGAATCTGGGATTCCATGTGTTCAAAAATAAAGCTGGTGTCACTTTGTATCTTGCTGGTCTCAGTGGGATCTGGATGGAGGAACTTGAAGCTGTAATGCAATGTGACAAGACTTTAACTTGAAGTCAAAAAATTACTTTAGATCTTGTTTTGAGAATTAGAATCATAGAACTGTAGAACAGGACTTCACTAGACCAGGTTGCCAGGGCACCATCCAGTGTACCTTTAATCACCCTCAGAGACAGGGCATCTACAAGTTCTTGTGGCAAGTTATTCCAGTACCTCAGTAATGCATTTCTTCCTAGTGTCTAATTTATACCTACTCTCCTTCAGTTTAAAGCCACTACCCGTTGTTCTATTGATTACCTCTGATGTGGAGAATACTTGGACTAAAAGTGTCCAAAGGGTGTTGTTCAGACCAGAGCACAGGATCAGTGTGGAGCAGTGTGCAAGGTGGAAGAAGGAGGTATTGGTACCAAGGGGTTTAAGAAATGTTGATCCATGAGTGAGAAGTCTGTGCCTAAGCCTAGAGAGCGTCCTTTGCTCCAGCAAGAAGGTGGCGGCTGCCTGATCCAAAGATACTTTCCGTCTGCTCTTAGAGTGTTTTGCTGAGGGGTGATGCTCTTTAATCCCTGGAATAGGATCTCTGCATAGGTGAAGGAGACCCCAGTTTGTTGTTTTCAGATGTGAATACGTATTTTGCAGACAAACTCCCTTTTCAGGCTTAAGTAACAAAACTAGTTGTAGATTTACTTCCAGTATTCCAGCATTATGGGATAAGAGTTTGACAGCTGCACAGTTTCCAAAGACATGCCCTGCCCTGAACAAGCAGCATTTGATGGCTGATTTTCTGTCATTGCTGATACTTGTGGATAAAAGCAGCTCCTGGGTCATGATGAAGATGTGAGCTCATCCCACAGCCTCATTTATGACTGCCCTAATACCCAATACAGGGCATGGGGCCTCTTTGCTTCCCCCCCTTCTCATCTCCCTGTGCTTGTGGCAGGCTTCTCTGGAGGTCTTTCCATAAAATTCACCCTGCAGCAATGGTTCAGACAAGAGACAGGATTTGAAAATGTGCTGCCCTTGCCTCAGTGGAGTTTAATACTGCACTCATTAGCCAGCTGTGGGAAGGGAGGCTGGAGTGCCCTGTGACCAGCAGTGGGACTGAAGTGAGCCCAGAGGGGAATGCTGTGGTTTTCTGAGCCTCCTGTGGGAGGGCAGCTCTGCAGGAGGTGTTTGGGCTGTAGTTTCCTGTATCCAAGGATGAACATCAGTTTCCTTTCCCAGGTGAGATGCTCTTGCCTTTCTCCCCAGACTCAGTCATTCCTGATGTGTTCCATGTTTATGATACCTTCTGAGAAACTCCTGTTTTAAAGTAGCCCTATTCTTAGCAAAAATAGACAGCTACCCAGGGAGGAGAAATGTACTAAACCTTGTAATCTGGTTACCTTGGTAACATCTGTAAGAAACAATTACTAAACCACTTTCTACTTTTTCTTCATCTCTTTTATGGAAATATATATTTCTGTTTACTTGACAAAAGTGTGAGTTATACCATACCCATTGTGGCCATTCTCCTGACCATTATCTTGACAAACAAGTTCCCATCTCTAAAAAGCAATGTTAAACTACTGTAAGAACAGATATTTGGCTTTCTAGTAGAAACCAAGATTTGCCGTCAAGTTTCTGTGAAGAAAAGCAAAAATGTTATAAAAACTTTTCTATTGTTTCAGAGTATTACAATGCTTGATCGCATTTACTCAACATAAGAATTCTTTTGAGTGATAATGTTTTAGAACAAACAGAAGATTATTTTTTCTTCTGCATTGGAACATTCTCACGCATTTGTAAGGTTTAGTTGTCAACCGTATGTCATGCAGGGCAACAAAAAAAGAAATTAAAGCATTATTGCTAGGCAAAACTTACAACTGTGCTTGAGAATTGGCTGTTCCTGGATCTAGCTCTTAGCACAGCTCTCATCATTCCCGTTCAGCTGTCTGTGTCCTGGTAGAGGTTCCTCTGCACTGCATGAGCCAGGACACGGGAGAGCCAGCACACAGAAATTCCCCAGGGATCAGAGTGTGTGCTGCTGGGTAGGCAGTGCCCCCACCTTTTAGGTGGTTCTTTGTATCCTCTGGTTACTCACTTGTTTCTGTCTTTGCTGCCGACAGCAGGGAATTTTCTGGACCCTTCAAAAGAAGAATATCCCTCACTCAGTGATCCATTCAGTAACTGATTTAATTAATTTGAAACTAACTGTCACTTTTTAAACTGTTAATCAAGAAGCCAATTATCTGTTAACAGTCCTAAGCACAACAGTAATCAAAGTGTTTCCCTGGGATTTTTTTCTGTTATCTCAGAGCTTTTAAAATATGTGTTTTAAAATATGGAAATGTGTCTATTTTCTTTAAAAAAATTAAGACCCTATATTAGAATTCCATTTTCTATTTTGGAATTGTAAAACTTCTTATTCATTTCTGAAAGTATGTTAGAATTTTAGCCGTTTTTATGTGTTATGGCCTTGAAGACAAAAGTCTCAGGGCATGATATAAGGTTAATTAAGGATAAATCCTGCTCTTTTTATTCACTTACATAGCTGAAATCCTCAAGCAGCATTGCTCTGTTAAAAGTTTGTTTGGTGTACACATTTAAAAGTCTTATTCTATGAATGTTATTTCTGTTATTGTATATACATTGGTATTCCCAAGAGGTAATGTAAAAGTGACACATACCAAAGCATAGGTGGTTGTTTTTTATTGTAGCCATTAGTTATACATCTGTCTTAGAACAATAAAAAAATGTTCCTTAAATTGATTTAAAATTAAGACTCAATTTATAGTGTTAGAAAATTAGATTTTTTTTTACAGGTTTACAAAACAAAGTGATTAAAAAAAAATATGTTCATACTACATGCACAATCCTGTGTGTATTTATGCCATAAAAATGTTTTTTGAGTGCAGCAAGTAAGAGAATGATGTATAATAGCTTGTCTCTGGAATTCTAAGTATTTAATTGAATTAGATCACTACCCATTTATCCACTATTTTCTTCTCTCTTTTAAAAATCTCATCTGAGAGCGGTGAATAGTTGTTTTTTGCTGTAATAATGATGGTGAGTCAACAGTTTGATTAATCATGTAGTTAAAGCGTGAGTATTTCTGAGCATATCTGTTAAAGGATGTGTCCTGATGGATTTTTTTTTTTTAAATTCCTCATGGGTATAAAGATGTTAGCTTCTTTCCCATGGAAGTTGTTTAGAAGGGCCCAAAAAATATGGTAACAATGGTGTATTAAGGTGCTTATATATTAAGATCCATCTCATTCCATATTTCCAGTTTCAATCTGAATGCATTCCTGACTCCTGACTTTCCAGCTTCATAGTCTGCAATAAGCAAATGCTTGTAGAGCCCTGGGCAGGTATTTGCTCCATTAGCAAAACTCTGTAAATTGCCGAAACAGAGGTGCTTTAGAGAACAAGAAGAGGGCGAAGTCAGTGCCAAATTCTACTGCCATTTAATCCTTTAAAAAATAAAATGTTTTGGCCAAAAAATTGTTTAGAAGTAAAGAGGGCCTGAGTGGTAGGACAGGTGGCAAATTGCATTACTGACAAGAACAGGATACACAAATCCATAATCCATGTGAAGACACCTATTAAAATCGTACAATCCAGCCATAAAATCTTAAGGGTAACAATGACACATCCCGAGTTTTTGGACGGAGATTTCAGGTTTATAATTTAGTCCACTATTTATCAATATTTTAAAGTATTTTATAACACACAATGAATGAAAGAAGTGAATAGGCTGCTGAACAAAATGAAGACAGGATCTTTATATTTATATATATCCTTATCTTTATGGAACCAACTCTTCTAGTATAATCTCTGCTGCCAGCAGTGAACACATCAGATGTATTTACACTGTATCTCTGCAAGAAGATATTTATGGATATGACAGTGCCGTTCTGCACACTTATAACCTGAGATTCAGATTCTCTCTGAGTACCATGTGCACCTCGGTTCATTTCAGAAATATGTAATAGTGCACTAATGAGCGTGGTATAAGAATCTAAATAGATCCATAGGCATATGGACAGCCAGATTGATCAAGGCAGACTTTATCACTTTGTCCCTAAAAATCCTTTGTGATTATCCTTTATGTACACAGTGGTTCTAAAATGCTAGCCCAGGCAATTTCCCTTTACTTAATAACATTTTATAGATTTACGTAAAGCTTTTACTTGAAAACATGGAGGAGTGTGTTTGCACTTTTTTACAGAAATTTACTGGTACCAGTAATATAAACAGCTTTTATTCTCTTTTGAAAAAAACATTGTGAATATATAAATTATTTTTACCTGGACAGAGATGATTACATGGCATGTGACTGAAAATGTATCTTTTTTAATAGATGATTCAGCTGCAGAGAGTTTTAATGGCAATGAGACCGTGGGACACAGTTCCAATGCTTCAGGGGGAACACACTGCAGGGAGATGGCAGAAACCAACAGTAATGGCAAAACAAATCTGGAGCAGGATGAGCAGCCTCTGAACCTGAGTGACAGCCCCCTCTCTGCTCAGCTGACTTCAGAATACAGACTAGATGATCACAGCAGTAATGGAAAGAACAAATACAAGACTCTCCTAATTTCTGATCTCAAGATGGAACGGGAGGCAAGAGAAAATGGAAGCAAGGTAAGATGCTTCCACATGGTCCAGATATGAAGCATGTAGTTCCCAAAAGAGAAAGATTTGTGAGGCCTAACTAAAGGTTATTCCCAGCTAAGCACTTAATGTGATGTGTCTAATGTTTGCCAGCTTATTACTTAAATGCTATACGTAGATTTGTATGCTCTGTTACACATATATGATGCATACGTACATTAAGTGTATGTGGATGTACATGGGTGAATATATATGTATAGGCAAATATATTGTGCTGACACACAGGCAAAAATTGTGTAGTTCTCCATCAGACATGAATTTTATCAATCCATTTAGTAAGAACTATCTACATTACCGTTTTGAAAAAAAAAATATTTTAAAGTACATAAATAATGTGATACATATATATATGTGTATAAATATGGAGATATATATGTATGAATATTTACAGATGGCCATCTCATCACTTCTATTATGTATCTGTAGGATTTTCGTGGTTTAAACCCAGCTGGCAACTAAGTACCTCACAGCCACTCTCTAACTCCCCTCTTCACTCTCTGCCTTGGTAGGGTCAGGAAGAGAATGGAAGAAAGGTTAAAACCTGTGCGTTGAGATAAGAATTGTTTAATAATTGAAATAACGTAAAGTATATTACTACTATTACTACTGCTACTGATAATTGTAATGAAAAAGCATACAACAAAAAGCGAAAGAGGAATAAAATGCAAGAAACGCAAGTGTTGCACAATACAGTTGCTCACCACCCACTGACCAATGCCCAGTCAGTGTCTGAGTAGTGAATGACAGTTTCTGGCCAGCTCCCCCCAGGTTATATACTGGGCAATCCTCTCTGTGGTGCAGAATATCCCTTTGGCCAGTTTGGGTCAGCTGTCCTTGGCTTGATCCCTTCCAGCCATTTGTGCACCTGCTCACCAGCAGAGCCTGGGAAATTAAAAAATCATTAACTTGGGGTAAGCACTGCTTAGCATCAACTAAAACATCAGTATGATATCAATATTATTCTCATACTTAATCCAAAATACATGACTATAGCAGCTACTAGGAAGAAAATGAACTCTTCTCACCAAAACCTGGACAAGAATTAATCCATGAATGTTAAGTGTGTATGGCCAAGAGAATTCCTACCAGTGAATTATCAACATCTGAAAGGAACTGATTTTGTTTCTTCATGATTGTGTTATGCAGGCACCTAACCTGAATTAAAACTGACAAGTTTGCTTTAAGAAGCTGTAATCCCCTGAGGGCTTTTCGCTGTAGTTTCTATTATGTGGGTAAGGAGAAGCAAGGGTGTTATTTTGTAGATAAAGACAGATCTTACAGATTAAGTTAGGTAGCTTTCTAGGATGGTGTTTTTCTTGAGGGCCTACAGTAGGGAGGGTGAATAAATGGCATGTATCATAGAATTTACCCATTGATCTTACTGGTCACAGTTCCTTTTTTTTTTTTTTTTTTTTAAGTATCTGATGATCTGATGGCTTACCACTTTTACAGCAGCAATAATAGGATGTGAGTCCTGGATCCAAAGACTATTAATGCTAGTCACTAGCTTTCAGTAGCCTGACAACATAGATATACCTTGAATGGGCACAATTTTTACAGGGCTTTGAAACAGGAGTGTTAAAATCCTTAGACATACTTGGAAAGGGATAACACATGACTGATATCTAGACAACAACATTTAATCATACTGAGGTTTTATCTCTTATCTTCATCGCCTCTATAGTAAAAATAAAAACTTGTAATGATTTTGTAACTTAAGTCTCTAAGTTTCAGTGGGTAGAACAAAGGGAGAGTAAATGGGAGATTGTTAGTCTTTCTCATGGCCCTTAAGCAAACCACGTATCTCAACACCTTCTCTGTGAAATAAAAAACTGTTTATCTGTACAGAATACTTTTTTCTCACAAGCCTGCATTTTATGGAAAATGTTCTGACTAGCTGTAGTCTCTGCCTGTGTATGAACCCCAGTGCTGAATTGACTCAGAATTTTGAGTTGCACAGTGGGTCCCAAATTGGCTGATATGAATGGTATCTTCTTCTGCTTCAGGGCAGATTGTTCTAATGAACCTTTTATAGGCCCATCATCCAAATATTGACAGACACACAGGCTCTTTTGCCTGAGGTAGGTTGTTGCTTATGCCATCACTCTTGCAAATAAACAAAAAAGCTTGGCAAAGATGGGGAGGAGTCTTAATGTGACACTCATTTATAGCTAAGACAAGAACACAGCCTAATGTTCTCTTTCCAATTTGAGTCAGTTCCAGCTCAGATGCAAGAAAAACATATCAAAAAGTGTTAAAAATCTATAATGAATTTAGATGACAATCAAAGCCATCTCATTCTTTACAAATTTTAAGAGGCCAGAATCATCCCCCACATCAATACATTCTTTTACACTTGCTGTCATCCTGCCCACTCTATATTGCCAACAATATGCAGATTTGTCTCTTCTTTTTGTCCTAGTGAAACTCATGTTGCTGTTTAGAGCTCCCTTAAGTATATGATTAATTAGATATGCAATAATGATTATTAAATATAGAGTAAATACTTCAGAAAGAACACAATCCTGGGATAAACAAAATTTGTTAGAGATTTGTAAGATGAGTTACTGAAGAAAATATCTACTTTCTAAGTGAGGGGAAATATATTTCAATTATTGAGCTAGTACTGGAGGAAGAAATACATTATGCTTCCTCCAACTTCTACAATGTCCCATTTAACCTGCACAAGATATTATTCTCTTGGGATAATTAAGACTGTGAAATACAGAGACAAAGGAATGGAGATAGGAGGATCTCTTGGCTGACATGTTCTGATAGACAATTTTGTATCTGCTGCAGAATTTTGATCAGGAGAAGCCGTTGAGTTAAAAATGGTAGTTTTTCCATCATATTTGCTTTGAAAATGTGAAAGCTAAAAGGAAATCTTTATTGAAAATGGTTATTTCTTTGTGGAAGATAAATTTTCAGAATATTCATATTGTCCTTACCTATTTGAAGCAATTATATGCTTATGCTATAGGGAAAGTTTGCGGAAATAGTGGTATAATTCTGCAAAAAATCTTGTATATCAAAACAGGGATACTTAGCATTTTCCTAGAATCAGGCCTATGGACACAGAGGACATAATTAGTGATTTGTAAGAAATCTAGAGTTTGTGTTTTTTAATAATAAACTAAGTTTTCTTGCCTGAAAAAATTCTGATAAATTACTGTGGATTAGATAACTCTGTGAACAACTACAGTATATTATTTAAAGAATGCTTGGTTCAGTTATTTCAGAATATGACTTTTAAAACTGGTATTAGTAGCACTCTTTAAACAAGTATGGCATTTCAGTGGACAGTGTTGCTTTGAATCCTCAGTTCAGGCAGTGAGTATGTGGGGTAATCTCTTCTTTTTACAAAAAGATCATGACCTGAGTGGGGTGGAGAGAGTTGCCAAATTCTAACAACCTTAAAATCTGATCCAAATGTTTTACTATTCACTGGAAATTTGTTGTGCGAGGACAAAATGGGTTTTCATAGTGTTTAATGCATATATGTTCACATTTATGTGTATATATATATATACACACGCACTTTATATATATATATATATATATATATATACTTGAGTAAGACCTAGTTGTTCACAGCAGCAGGAATTTCTACAACCATTTAGTGCTAAACTGAAGTTTGTGAAATTTTGCATAGCTGCAAAAATACTTAACTGGTCTGGGTCTTTGTACTAGAAAACACTTAGAAAGTCTTCATCAGCAAATGCTCTGCAATGTAGTTGTATGAAATCAAATAGTTACATGTACATATAAATTATTTTAGAGCATTACTTATGTGTGAGCCTGATGGGTTTTTTTATGACTGTGGTGAAGTCTCTGTAGCACTAGGGTTTTTTATTGCTGACTCTTTTGTTGTTGCTACTTCCTGTACCATATCTTTTATTTTGAAAAGTTATTATATACCTTTATCTCTCCTTCAGTATTTATTTCATTAAATACAGCAAGCCTACTCCTTTTAAACGATTTTGTCTGTTTTGCATTTGGATAACAATGTTATTTTAATATAGTATGGGAAAACAGGCTTTTGAACTCATACTTACATTATACATACTTACTCATACTTACATTATGCCATTATTTTACCTGGATTAATAAATGGTTTGTTATGTCTGTGTTGCAAGGGGCACTCCTAATATGCAAAAAATCTGTGGAATTTTCCAGATAGAAATATATGCTACTGATGATAAATGTCTAGGAGAGGTATTGAAATGAGGTAACAAGGATAACACACCTCCCCATTTTGTCCAGATACCTACTAGTTGCAACCAGTTTGTTTTCTTTCTTTCTACCAGATGAAATTTGTGGTAGAAAGTTGGACACCTTGAGTCTGTGGATGTATGGTAGGCTAAGTTAATATGCACTATGTTTAGCTCAGGTGTGTAATTGGCTTCTTGAAGAATTGCACAAGATAAGAAATTTTTCCTTTAAGTCTGGAGAGAAAAGCATAGTTTTAAAGGAGGGAACAGTAAATAATGATTGCTGCATACCATGACCTTTAATTATAATAATGCATTTTAATGTGCATGTCATTATAGCTACAGTTGTTCACCATGAGGCAGAATTTTCATGTAATCTCTAAAACTAAAATATTTCTGTCTCTCCTTTAATGCTGGGCTTCTGAAGTGTTCTTCAACCTTTTTTTTACAGCTTGATGTAAAGAACAGAGTTATTGTCATAGGCCATTGCCAAGGGCTGTTTGCTTCCAGCAATTGCAACTTCAAGCACTGCTGTAATGGATGTACCTACACTATGGCAGGTTAGCCTGGCATGGTCTGCTTTTAACACAGGCCCCACTCCAAGAAGGCATTTAAAGGCTGTAAACTTGTATGGCATCTGAAAGCCAGAGCATGTATGAGGTCCTGGGTGAAGTTTGAAACTCCTGCATGATACTCCAGTTAAAATGTAGTCATCTTCAGTGGTTAGTCCAGCTGCAGAATCTTCTAACATCTGTTTTGATGGAGCTCATCGTTACGCAGGGAAACCAGACACGACTGTCCAAGCAGCCTGATCTGGTTATGCAATTATACTGATAAGTCTGTTGTCATCTGTGGTGAATCCTTCTGGTTTCCAAAAGCACACATGAATTTAGCCACAGACAGACACCATCTATGAGGAGCAAGGTAGAGTCTGGATGTACTTTGTCCTCACTCTCCTTTTAAAAGATGTGACTGCATCTTAGCAAAAGGTGGAAGGTCACTCCTAAAATCCAGTGATCATCACATCTGATACTGAGTTTCTGAGGCAAGTGGAGTCACTGCCTGACTAGTTCCCTGTGCCTCTGTCTGCAGATTTCCTTGGGGAAATGGCCATGGTCAGAAAATAAGGGAGCATATGGCTTTTTCTAAAGCAAGTGGAATCCTTAGGAATTGCAGTGCACTTTTAATGGAGAGTGATAGAGGCCTATCGAGAAACTTATGAAGTAATCTATTTTTAAAAATTGTTAATAAAATGTTAAACAGGTGTGCATCTACTTGAAGCAGGGGTTGAAGACTTTGGGAATTTACGTGCTATTAAGAACAGTGTTGGAGATGTTGTTTTTGGGTTTATTTCTTTCTTTTTCAACTTAATATTTCAATTTTTTTCCCTCCATCATCATTGATTATTTATATTAGAGTGGAATAGACAGATTTCAGCTGAATGGGAGCATTGTGCTGTGTTCCTTGATGGTTACCTCGGCTCTAAGCAGGAGGGAAGGTGGAAAGGGTAAGATAGAAGTGTCTCCTCCTCTTTTGAGGATACCACTAAACTCTACATGTTGGCTTTTTTAGTACAAAGAAAATACTCTTTTGCCCATCTAGTTTATTTTGCTAAATGCCAAAGTTAAGATAATTAATCTGGATTGAGAGTTTAGCCTGTCAGAAAGGATCCTTTGATTCCAACTCATCTCTCCTCAGAGCTTTTCACTGTCTCCCTTGCTTGAAGTTGGATTTCACTACCTACATATGGCATAAGAAGAAATTAGACTTTTTTTTTGTTTTATTTGTTCTAACTGGCATATTTTATTCAATTTCCATGGTCAGATAGAAAGTGTTCAAGCAATACCATATTTTACTGACTGCTGTTTTGTTTACGAAAATATCTTTAGAGTCTGCAGTCCAGGGGTTTGACAGCCTTATTTTATGGCTTAATTGTTAGGACTAGGAAGAGACTTGGCATGAAATACTGTTTGCTGCTGTCATAAATAACTTATGAAGAGTGAAGCAAAATCTGGTGAAAGGTTTGTCAGAACCTGGCAGGACATGCTACTACAAGCAGGGACATACTAGATTTTGAGCAAACAACAGGAGTGGGGCAGAAGGCAAAGCCAGCATTATAAACACTCTGGATCAATGAGATATCAGCACAGAATGAGTCTGCAGCTCCACTAGCATCCAGTCTGCTTTCACCATTCCAATCATAGCACTGAGGAGAGGATGGTGACATGTTCCAGCTTTGCTTTACAAAGCTTTGCCATCCAACTTACCCAGTGGGTTCCATCATTGCTGCTTTCCACTAAATCCGTGGAAATAGTTTGTACTGAGATTTAAAAGTAAAGATGATAAAAGAAGTGAACTGAAGGCAGAATCCACCCCTGCCACCATCACATGCAGATGATACAATCTTGAGTCTTGCATCTCACTTCTTTGGTGTGTGAAGGCAGGCTCAAGTGCTGTGTTGAAGTATGTATCTTCTTTTTCTGCCATGCTCAAGTTTGTGCAAAGGTAACTGGCATGTCAGTGCTTTTCTCTTCTTGGGAGATTGATGCACTACAACAGAACATAAACCTGTTCTCTTCTCCTGTGCATGGAAAACTTCAATGAAAGGTGAACAAAAGGTGTCTGCAAGCAGTTTTGTGACTTTGTATATTTTTTCTGCCCACTCACTTACAAATTAGCCTGTTTTTTTCTCTTTCCCAATGAATTTCTGCTTCATGCATAGGAGTTTTAGAAATTACTCTCAAAAAGTCTGCGTTCTTTATGTTTTACTTTACCATTTTATCTGACACCTTGGTTTTACTCTTCCCTACTTTTAGAAAATAAGCAAACTGAGAAAAATCAGTTTTCTGACTCTAAAAGTCAATTTTTTTTGTTGTTTGGATAAAGCATGTTTGTTCTATGAAGAAAAAAAAAGTTATTTTTTTGCTGCTCTTTTGTAAAGAAGTTGTTAGAGGCCACTGAGAAGCTCTTTAGTACCAAAAAAAAATTGATTTTAGTTTAGTGGTTTTATAATCAGTATTTAATCACTGTTCAACTATAACAACTATGGTTTTATAGAGCACTGTTTTTTCCAGACTTGAATCTTCTGATTTTGGGGGTTACCCATAATAAATAGCTAAATACATAATTGTTTGGAAGAGCATGTTTTTCATGCCACTGCAGCTGCATGAAAAGAAAATCAGTGTTGTGTTTGTCAGAAAATATGAATTCTCTAGTGTTCTCTAACAGTCACATTCATCAAAGTCCTTTGTCTATGATACCATCAGTTCTGTGTCTAGTTCTTCCCATTGGAAGTACATTTAGCAGCAGGTTTTCATGTTCAGTCAAAGCTCTTGAAAGTGAAATTGATTTCCTGCAGGGCATTCATTACAATGATGTAACTCCAGGTCAATTAAATGGAAGCTGATGATGCTACTCCAGATTTACATACCTGTAATGGAGAACACAATCTGGCTCCATATGTGTATGAAATCTCAGCTAATGGAAAGCTGGCATGGAAGAGACTAAGTTTTGATGTGACCTTTTATAAATTTTCTCAGAGATTTTTTTTTTTCAAGAAGGTAGAGCACATGGGTCAAAGTACCAGAAAGTAGTGCTCTTGATTCCAGATGGAATGTGTGTTACTCACAGATCCAGTTGTCTGTCCTCAAACACTTTTACCTTTGGAGTCTTTCATCACTCACATCGAACAACAAGCACCTGTACATGAAGGAGATGCAGGACTTTCTCCAACTTGCTTTTAGAGGCAGGACATCAATTCAGACAAGAGAGAAAGCTATCAAGTGCCTCTGCAATCAAAGAGGTAAGGTCTGAAATTGCGACTTCCCTCCCTGTTTACAGCCAAGAACGTTTTATATCTTATCAGTCTGGGAGCACATGTCTGTACCTTTCAAGCAAATTCTTGTTCACTTCAGCCTAGATTCGTTCCTGATAAACACCTTCAAGGCTTGGCCTTGTTACAATCCCTAACTCTTATTTCTGTGGGGTTATTTTTGTTGTGGTTTGTTGGGGTGTTTTCCCCCATTAGCAAGGAAATTGAATTTGTGTTGAAGCCTTACCACATTAAATTATTTGCTGCTCCTTTTTCTTCTTCTGTTATCACATATGCAGCTTCTCTGTCACCTAGAAAAAGATAGAGAGCAAATCTTGCTCTTGGAAGATTAAACATTATTTGATGATAAACTGAGCAAGATATAATAGGACAGCAATAATTTCTACCTTCTGTGATTGTGTTTAGTCTTAATATGATTTACACTTAATGAACTTTCATTTTTTAATTTTTCAGATGCTGAGGCTGAAGAGCTGATCCTCAAAACTAATCTGTGATGAATGGCTTCCTATTTGGCTACTTTCTACACACTCAACTCCTTCAAAACTATATTGTTATTCAAGAGTTGACAATCATGAATGTTACTCCTAATTTTTTCTTTCTGGTATTGAATTCTTTTCTACATGCCAAGACAAGTCCTGAGGAAAGAGAGGAAAGAAGCCAAAGGTTTTTCTCCTTTAATGGCATTTATAACAATATATTGATGAGATTTTAAAATAAATAAAATTTTTATTAGTTGTCTTACAGATATCTCATTTGCTAATCTTTTTTTTCTTGTTGAATGAACGTCAGTAGTCAAATGTCTTGCTGAATGCTTGATGCACTTTCAAGCTGTGATTTTGTGTGCTCTTCATAGCAATTGCTGGGAATAATTAATTACATTAGAACCCTGAATGCTTGTTTTGGATACTTATTCAAGCAGCTGGATTTGTTGGGTGATGTGAGAGAAGTGAATAGGTAAATTTTTTAGTAGAGGAAAGAGGGAAAGAAAAGTAGATTTCAACTTTAAAACTATTTAACTATTTTCTTCTCTTTCGTCTTTTTTTTGTTGCTTGCCTTTTGCTGCTTCAGCTTTTCTGGTGATTCTCCTCCATCTGCTTCTGGAGACTCATGGAAGACCTATCTTAAATTTTGGTTTTTATGAACAAAATAATAGATACAGATAGTATTACTTACCAGAATATAGGACTGTGAGGAATTAACTTTAATTACTGAGTCTAGTCCTCTGTAAAGGGGAACCTAGATGATAGACATTTGCTCCAAGAGGATATGCAAGAGTTCAATTCACAATGTCCACAGAGTTCTGATTAATAACTCTCAGCCTTATAGAAAACAGCAGTGGGGCAGCTGTAATATGCCATGGAAAACAGTGAGGAACTGGAATCTTGGTTGATGTCCTAGATCCCTACAACAACAAGGGATTTGCTAGATGGATTTCCCAGATGGTTTCTAGCAGCATCTTATTCCCCGCAGAATGGGGAGTGAAAAAGAACAACTGCCAATAATCCCTACCAGTCTGCTTGAGGTTTTGTCTGCCATATGTTTCATCAAAACATCCTGCTTTGTATTTCATCTCTAACAGTGACTGATTTTGAATACTTGAAAGAAGCAATTAAAAAAACAGCATCCACATTAGTTATTGAGGCAGGGAGGAGATAGTGCTGTAGGTAGGCATTGAAAGCTGTGAAATGTTTGTTATGTTTATTAAACACAGTCAAAAGGTAGCAATCAAAAAATTTAGCAAAATGCGTGGTAAGGAATAAGACATTGATGGTTACAAATATTACAGAATGGTATTGCACAATCAGTAAAAGATCCTGGAAACTGGTATTTGAGAACTGTGTAAACAGTCAACATTTGTGTTTCACTGGGAAATGATGAAAGGGTATAAAAATATACAGCCAAAGGTATAAATCTGTAACTGATGTGAGTTTCCATTTCACCCATGTAAGTGTGGCATGGCATGAAACATTTTAATACTGGATGAATTCCATATGCATCTCTAGAGTTTTCCCTAAGCTATTGCTTCTTGGAGCTCACAGTGTTTCTATGAAATACTGCAGCTGTTGCTTGGATCTTGGCGTGGTACAACTGAATATTTCCCATATAGATGCTTCGTCTCATCAGCTGCTTTGGTCAGATTGTCATTTTCAGTGTCCCTTCACACCTATTCTGTCTGTGTACTCCAACTCTTCTCATTGTGAATATGCCTTAAGCTATCCCCAGATGTGATAGGAAATAATACATGCTGTTTTCTTCATATACATGCACACACACACAATATATATATACATATATATTCTCATATATTTTTCTCTTTGTCTGATGAGAACAGTCATATCCAATGGCTATGAACCAAAGTATGGAGTCATACAGATGAACCAGGAGCATACAAAGAGCTCATGTTGTTAAGGCACCTGCAATACAAACATAAACTTTGTCTAGCAGACAAGAGTGTGATTGTTTTTCATGTGTGCTTTAATTAATATTGGGATGAAATCAATTAATATTGGGGTGTATCTTGCTTCTGACTCCATTTTATATTTTGGTAGAGGTCATGGAGTAATGTGTTTCCTCCTCTTGTGTTTCCCATGGCATTTGGGAATTGTCTGATTCCACCAGGAAGATCCCTTGCAGAACTATTCAGAATTTCTTCCCTAGATCTTCTACTATTGAGCTCCTGGGCTGCCCTCTCAGGATTAGTAAAAGAAAAACAGGGAAAGGTGAGTTGATTTCCTTAGAGGTTACCATGAATGGCCCCAACATAGTCTGTCCTCAGTCCACAACGTCATAGTATGAGCTCTGTACTGGTGCTCAAAAGGACACATGGATATTCTTTAGGCCATTTTACTTAATCAGTGATATATGTTTTTTTTGGATGCCTCTGAATGAATTTATCCTTGTCTCACTTTGTACAGTTAGTCATATGCTCTTAAAAAATCTTTTGCAGATGGAGCCCCGTGGGACTGGACCTGTTTCAAAAGCTGTATTAAATGACTGAAATAAAGGTTTTGAAAATTCTGTTTCCCTCAGTGTGTTGCTTAGCAAGAATAGCTGTGTTTAGTGGAAAAGAAGTTAGATGAGTCTGTGGCATGTGTGCTATCTCACACCTCTTGGATCAGCTGGGAGATGGACGCATGAGGGAATGACATACAGGCATGTTTTGGAATATGCTGCTCGTGTCAGTTGTACCTTAAAGATAGCAGCCTCACAAGGTTGATGCTTCTCTATGGTTCATTAGAAGCTTTATAAAATCCACCTCTATACATTCAAGTAAGTCCACCCTGCCTTCAGAAAACACATAATATACAGGTTTATGTTATACTGGAAAAAGATGTTGGAATTCCTAATGGATCTAAAGCAGTGACAAAACACTGAGGAGCTGAAAAATTTGCTGCATAAAGATGCAATTATTTTGTTAGAGATAAAGCAGCCATGACTTCGTCACAGATCTCAGTGGTTATTGCCAATTAATAGATTGTTTTCTTTGGAAGGTAAATTTGTCAAAAGACTCAGCAGATTAAACTTCTTTTTATAGGTTAGGTTGGAATTGAGATAAAACATTTTTACAATGATTATAACAAACCATTCATATGAAACTAATAAAACATTATACAAAAATATCTGTGTAAGGTAGGTGTTCATTTTATAAATATATGTACTAATGAATCTGAAAGTATATGAGGCATGATTGTGTCATTTAGGAAAATTGTGACAACTATTCTCTTCTGTTCAAGAGTTGAGTGGTCATGTTCTATGGTTCTGTGAATTGGTAGGAGTGTCTTGAATCATTAAAGAGCCCAAAAGGCTTTTAGCATCTCATATTGCAAGTTTCCTGGTCTAAGCTTTTGAGAAACCTGGCCTAAATATCTGTATTTCATAATCTTAAGTACTTAGCCCTGCATACTTCTGGTTTGAGATAGCAACTTCAGGACAATACTTATTTTTACTGCACTCACTATGCCAATTCTAGGTCATTCTATTTAGTATAAGAGATAAGTAATTTTTAAGGCTGTATCTAAGCTTTTTGGAGATAATTCTTTATCTTCTTCTTCCTTTTTTTTTTTTTTTTTTAAAATATTAAATTGACAGGGAGTGTGCTGGTTTGCTTTTAGCCTGTTTCTCCATTCCTATGTTTAGATTTTGATTTTATGTGATTTTTTCCATATTTAATGCATACTTTATAGCGATGCTTACAGTACCTAGAACTTATATGTAGGGCTATTTATGTGAAATAGCAAACTAAAAAAAAAAAAAAATAGACTCTGTATGTCTACTGTTAACTGTGAGATAGCAGAACATTCCGCTCCATGTAGTGTAGGCAGTGGCAGTCGTGGCAGCATCTTCAAAACTCCACTTTTTACTATCTTTTTCCTAGTTGAAATTTTTGTCCTTGAAATGTACAGGATACTACTGAGTTAATTTTTACATTTATCTACAATTTATATACATAATACAAGTTTTAGGTTATTCTGTTCCGAATAAGATAATTCTGCATAATAACTTTATACAACATGAATAAGTTGCTTATACCTTCATCAATATTTTAATTGCCAGAGGTTCCTATATCTAAATTCTTTGAATTTACATAGCACACTTGGGATTCTGAAAACATCAATAAAAATAAATCAGCTTAACATTACATTGGTCCTGTGGGGTAAACATGTCTACTGATTGGTAAATACAGGCATGGTATAATTCCTTTCTCAAAGCAAATCAATCAATTTCTCCAGAAAAGCTGAAGAAGACATTTGTTTATTGTATGTTATAGCTGAACATTAATCACAATATGAATCCTTATCTCCAGACATTGCTGTTCAGTTAAAGATGCAGATCATCTTCAACTGAGTAGCCATTGGAAAGTTTCCTCTGGTTTTATTAGCATAGCTAAAATTCAAACCAGTGTTTTTAAATGTTTGTTTTAACTTGGGCTTTACTGGAAACATGAGAAATACATTTTCACTGATGGTCTTGATAAATCTTTCCAGGCCTCATCATAAAAACACATTTATGTATGCCCAAGAAAGCCTATGGACTACATTATTAGTATTTGTGTGATTGAACCTTAACTGACCTAAAGTTGAATGCTTTACTTAGATCCAGTCATACAGCTTACTTGTATAGTGCAGTTACATATTGAACTGAGTATGTAGCCCAAAGTGAGAGAGCTGCAGGAGGAAGAGGCTGTAGAAGTGTTAGAATATTCTAATTGTCTGTAGCTATTTAAGCAGTTGGGTTTTTTTTTCTTTTTAATTATGAAAAAAAGGTCAATATATATATAATAGTTAAAATCACTGAAGTGTGGGACTTCAAATCTGGGTTTTCAGTTAATTGTAAGAAATATGAGTATATCTGTCCATCTGTGTACCTGTATAAACCAAATTGTTTCATTTCCTCCTTAAATGTTGCTTCTTACCACACAATCTTTATTTCACAATGCTCTGTTTCATAAAGCTTGCTTGGCTGAGTGCTCTCCTGGTTGCTAAGTCCTTCTGGTGCAGGTCAGAGGTAGGGTGTGAAATAGCATTCTTTTTCCTTCTTCTTTGAAAGGGCTTTGTCACCAGCACATGACATTTTCACCTTTGTGCAGCCATTTTAGGCCTTCACTTCAGCTGTTTGTTCCTCCCAATTGGCACAAATGACTTAATATTATCACCCCCTGACTCCTGTGGTGTTGTGAACTCCAGCTTAATCACCCTTACAAGTTAATCCAAATCAACTATATTGTGCTTTGCTACGTAATTACTTATTGAGACAATTAAGCTCAAAAAGTGGATCTACTCTGTATGGTCATCTTCTTTTGTACGGTGATCTTCTCTTTGTACAGGATTATCCCAACAGATTATCTCAGGACTTTTAATACCTCTTCTTCCACTTCTGCCAGAAGTGGAAGTTTCCCTTGTTACCTCTACTACAATATATGAAGACAACAGCTAATGGAAGAGTCAGAAAAGGTGCCCATTCAAAATGCAGTTCACAGTCTGAGTTTTATGTTACCACCACCTTAGTTCAGTGACCTTTTCTTGTAATTGTTCATTTCATTAAAAAACCCCAAACGACTCAGAAAGACAATTTATTGCCTAGAACAAGTGGTGAGATTGGCAAGAATAGAAGATATTTCCTATCTGATCTTGTAAGCATGCATTACAGGTCACTGCTTTACCTTTGATAAAGTATCAAAGTGTGGGGGGGAATTCTGAAACTGGGGAAAAAAAACAGTATAAGGTTATACAGACTTGATGTAGCAAATGGCAGGGCAGGGCTGCTGGCAGCAGCAGGTCCCAATGACCAGCAGACAAGCAGAAGGGTGTGTGCAGGTCACAGCTCAGTGCAGCAAGGGCAGGGAGCAAGCCAGGAGCAGCTTGGGACCTTCTTGGTCCCCACTTGCTCATGGTATATCTCAGCTTCAGTGGGGTTCCTCGGAAGGGGCACAGAAGTAGGGGTCCCAGAAGAAGTGGCCAGAAATAATTAAGTGCAATAGTGCAAGGTCGTGATGAGGGTATGGATTAATGACAGAAAGTGTAAGAGCATTTTAAGTGGTGTTGGTACAAAATGAAATGTTAAACTCAAAGCCATTCCTCTCTCACATGGGAGAACTTGTATTTACTCTGCAAGGGCAAATTTCCATGGGTTCTGCTCAGGTCACAGCTGGCTATCTTACAAAGTAGAGATGTTTTCTTTTGACTTTGGTGGAAAGGCAGATACAGGCAAGCAAAAGGATGGTGTTTAATTTCTAAAATTAATGGGCTTCACTAATCCTACCCTAAAGCCTTTCATCCTGCTAGGGAAAAAAAAGCAGACAACATCTTACCTTGAATTAGTTAATTGAGGGCAGTGCAGTTTTCAGTGATCGGACCAAGTGAAGGACCAACCATTTTTCGTGTGCAAAGTTAATGTGTTAGTGTTTCCAAGTAGCTCAAATTATTTAAAGCCTATGAAATACGATATCAGAAAAACATAGGGCAGAAAGCTTAAATTTTGGTCCTATGATGAGTTTTCTATCTTTCCCCCTGACTTTTGAAAGACTGAATGGTAAACAGTAAAATTTTTTTATTTCAGTTTATAAACCTGGGTGTTTGCAGTTTTAATAACAGCTGGGATTGTCCTAAAACTCATGGGGAATTTTTGATTAAGCATGTAATGCAGAATTTATTAGCAATTAAAAACTACTGGATGGTCCATTTGTCATCCATGTCTTAGAACAGGGCCTTGGAAGGCAGTGTATTAAAAGAAATATGTCTGTGCACAGACATTCTGTTCTTATATTAGTTAACCTATTAGTCTCATAGGTTAATTTAATAGAAGCCGCTACTTGGAAAGTTGAATCTTTTAAAGAACACCACGCTTTCAAAAGTTTTTTGTGAAAGTGATTTCATGCTTTTAATGGGTTTTGTATAATCATCAATTTATATTTTTTGTATTCAGTCAAGTTGTGAGGTTAAATTAAGTAAATTAAAAAAATTATCTCCCATATTTATTCAATACTTTGAACTTCTTAATAACGCTAGTCGTACACATATCCAGAAAATTAATAGTGTATTAGAACACATAATGCTATGGAAGAGGCTAATAAATATGGGATCATTCTCTGTATGGATACCTCCCATACACCACTTTGAAATTAATTTCACCTAGAGCCATAATTTGCAAGGTATTTGTTAGAACTTTTCAAAATATAGATTTCCATAAAAATATATTTAGCTGCAAAGTGTTTTTTAGAGATATATGACAGACTGTTCCTGTTTTACTTATGTCCCAGGTAAAAAATGCTTTTTAAAATCTTGTCTGTCAGGAAAGTTTTATACAAAAAAAGTGCTGTTATATATACCATATATCCATATGATGCATTTTATTCTATCAATGTGAGAAGGTGTTCGTTGCTATTTGTTGTCTTGATTTTTTTTTTTCCCAAAGGGGGTGCTTTATGCTCTGCCAGTTTTTTTGTCCCTGAATAACCTTTGAATCTAATTTCACAAGGTAGTAATCTTGACAATGTTGAGTTGCTATGAGCTGTGAAAATC